TGGCCAACCAGAACAGTGGACAAAAATCCTTCAACGGCGCGAGGTCAGCTAGGGTAAAAGACGAAGTCATCGAAACTAGATGCGCATTCCAACAGTTTTGAAGGAATAGGGTCAAAATAAAACAACAATCAAATCATTACGGCCCAAATCATGTAAAGGATTGTATGGACTGTGTGCTGTCCGAAGACCAGATGATATGATATCGAGTTTTTTGACTACCAAAATGATATCATCCCAACATTTCACCAACTGAAAGAACTCTTGATGTGAAGGATGCAAAATTAGCCGAACTGATGAAAACACTACGTGAGAAAGTTGAGGAGGGGGAGGGGAGGGGGGGAAGGGGGAGCTCCTGGGAGTGTGAAGCTCGGAAGTTCCTTCATTGATAGTGCTCTATACATCAGATTCTAACGACTTGTAAAGGTNATCACTAACAAACGTCCGAACTTGCGAAGCTATGCAGAGAAGCGATAAAGGAAGATCTGAAAGAGAGAAGAGCAGCAGTTATGGTCGAAGCCGGAGAGCCCGGGAAGAGCATTCGTAAAGCCCGACGAAGCCACGCCAATTACAAGACCAAGATGACTTCCCTTCGTCGTCCTGACGGAACAGTTACTGCATCTCGGAAGGCAATGGAGAAGGTCATCTACGACTTCTACTCGGGCCTCTTTGACAGCCACGTCTACCTGCCTACCCACCATCTTAAGCAAGACGAATATATCGCTCCTTCGGTTCTCCTTTCCGAAATACGACATGTCATCACGTCGATGAAGAACTGTACGGCGCCCGGTCCCCATAGTATCAAACCAGAACATCTGAAGAATATTCCACCAGTTATGTCAGAACTCTGGCTCGGCTCTTCACGCGGTACCTGTCGGAATGCAAAGTGCCCAAGTCGTGGAAAACTAGCAAGACTGTGTTGCTGTGCAAAAAGGGAGGTCCAGACGATATTGGCAATTATCGCTCAATCTGCCTGCTGTCTGTAATTTATAAACTTTTCACTCGCGTTATCCTAAACAGGATTGGCAGAATATTAGATGAAGGACAGCCATGCGAACAAGCAGAGTTTCGGAGAGATTTCAGCGCAATCGATCATATCCCCACTCTTACAAGGCTCATTGAAGTATCGCGAGAGTACAAAATGCCGTTATGTCTTACGTTCATCGATTTGAAGAAAGCGTTTGACACTGTCGAGACAGAAGCGTTAAACGAAGCCCTGGGCAATCAGGGTGTTCCTACTCAATATATAGGGATGCTTCGTGAGCTCTACGCAACTTCACGACCACGATCTCACCATTCTACAAGAAAGTCATTATCAACGTGAAGAGAGGTGTCCGGCAGGTCGATACCATATCGCTTAAACTTTTCAGTGCCGCTCTCGAGAATACTATGCGTCATTTGGAATGAGATGACATGGGAGTAAAGATCGACGGCCGCTATCTACATTACCTCCGCTTTGCAGACGACATAGTGCCCATAACACCGAACATCGAACAGGCGGAACGAATGCTGGCCGAGTTTGACAGTGCTTGTGGAAAGATCGGATTGAGACTGAATCTAACGAAGACGATGTTCATGAAAAACGGATTGGTACCTGATGCTCCCTTTACGCCAAACGGAAAGAATATCTCCGAATGCTCTAGCTATGTGTATCTAGGTCGGCAAGTCAATATAATGAACGACCTACCTCCGGAGCCAGGCAGAAGGAAACGCGCCGCGTGGGGAGCATTTAAGAATATCGAGGGAGTAGTGAAGAAGACGAAGAACATCCGGCTCCGCGCTCACTTTTTCGACACCGCTGTTCTTCCTGCTTTGACGTACGCCTTAGAGACTTGGACTCTACGAAAGCAGAATTAGCATGCTGTCAGCGTCACCTAACGCGCCTTGTAAAGGACGATGCTCGGAATTTTCCGGGAAGGAATATTGATCCTCGTGTCCCTGGAGCGATTCATTGGACCACTCTGGCTCGTGACAGGGACGAATGTAGACGTTTCTGGCGCCCGCTCGAGGAAATCGATGATCAACGGGACGACAGGTGATGCAGGTAAATGTTGTTTTCCTGAGCTGAGAACACTGTACAGAATGTGTAAGCGCGCCCTTGACAAGGCCTAGACGTCCAGTAAGTAGTTGGCATATAGTGCTGGCTTCACGATATAGTCTTCTGTTTCTCCATTTAGGAACTTGTAACATCGTCGATAAAGAAACATTTTGAATTAGAAACAGTGCAGACGCCCGCTGTAACCGGGCATGCCATTGGAGTGACTTGGATTTGGATACATTGCTATATCAATATCCTTGTGAATGTTTGGTGGACCTTCTCTGTTTTCACTTGGAGCTCCGGTGTAGAGGCTTCAGATTTGTTACCAATATTTTAAGACTGAGACTGCATAGGTCTTGTAAAGTTTCACAAGATCGATGCATTGTTTTACCGGATTTCTCTTGAAAATAGCCAGAAGAACACCAAATATTCATGCAATGAAACCCCTGCGATGATGAGAATTCAGTTTCGAGTTTTTACGAAAACCAAGGTCACCGATTCCTTCGAGAGTTTTTAGAACTACACCCTTGTGTGTCACAAGGAACAACAGAAGTTTCTGTCAAGTTAACAGGTATTTACCATGCGTTAGCCCACTCCATCATATTATAATGGTCTGAGCTTAGGCTTGATGAATGCAGTCATGAGTAGGCTCCAACATCTCTCTCTAACGTTTGATCTCTCCAGCAAGAACCGACCGAAACTAATCGGAAAATTACCCTTTTTATGGAATACCCACCAGGCTCCACCGTTGAAGAAGAAGAGAGAACGCCTTTAATGCCTTTATTGGGATATGTGGTACAGTCCTTTGTCAAGCACTGTTTGTCGTGAAGCCGGCTTCGAAAGGGCTTGGAACGCCATCCTTGAATGTACTGCAGTTATATCGACGAGTGCTTCATCGTAACATCTATACAGTTCTGTATTAGCGAGTGTTTTCGAGTATGAATGAACACCCACATTGCATAAAACTCACACGAAAGATACTGCAATGGTTCGATCCCTTATTTTAACACACAAGTCAAGGCGCCCAGCTGCGTTACTAGTGTATAACGGTACCGTAAAAGCGAGTTCGAAAAATATCCTAATTCACGCTACATCAGCTCATCACCAAGACCTCAAACGTGCAGTCGTCAACAACATGCTGAGAACGGTACCAAGCATTTGCATCAGTGAAGTTAAACTTCGCGAGTCACGACGTTCAGATGGCAAGATAGCTGCTGCCAATGGCTATACGCTTCCTCAGAGCCGTAGAAAGCCGCGCACCAATACGCAAGGGTCTTCGCCATTGCGGAACTAGCGCCTTGTCTCCATTCATCTCCCATAAAGTCAGCACTGCGGCACGGCAGAGCATTTTCAGAGCTGACCTGCAAGATGTTTTCCATTTGATGCACATACCCAACGGTGACATCAGGCAACAGTTGCTTCGAAACCGGCTCCACGTTAAACAGTGCTTGACAAAAGGCTGCATCACATGTCCGTACTGGGAAACAGGTGATTGCGCACTTTTAGGCGTGATCTACCAGCTAGAATGTCTGGCATGTGAATCAACCTATATCGACTAGACAGGACGATAACTAACTACACGGATAACAGAACTTCCAGATAATATGAAGCGTGGAAACTTTCTGTCAGCGTTCGGTCGACATAAAGTTGAGGAAATTAACGGCGACAGTATCGAAGTGAAGTGCATGACATCAGCGCATGGGACGGAAATTTCAGCAAGAAAGATAGAGGCGTTCTGGTTTCTGCAAAGGAATCCAAGATGAACAACATAGATGAGTATCCGTCCATAAACAATGACCTGTTGCCATACTTACCACATTGCGACCTATGCCTCGCGGTCAGTAGCATCGCAATGTTATCTTCATTATCATGATCATAAGGCACATCAGGAAGTCTCACTCGCCATTGTCTGTCGTCTGTGGCGACAGCGGATTCTATCCGTTTAGAGGTAGAGCCTGGTGGGCATTTCATAAGGTGTGTAGTTCTCCTATGAGTTTCGGTCTCTTTTACTCTATGAACGCTACAGACGCCGTTAACTTAATAAAGCGTTCACCTGAAAACCTTGAATGGTAGAAGAGTTTCACCAACGTGAACGGTTGCCATGAGTGTTTTTACTATAAAGGGCGCATACCTTTGTACCGTCAGCACTTGTAGTGCTGATGGTAGTTCGATGTGGAATTTAAAGATCAACTAATCATAAGTACACATCAAGATCAGAAGAGATGTTAGAACACCACCTTGAGGCACGTCATTGGTGCGTGGATACCGCCTCGAGGAAGAATTGTCTACTCTCACGACTAGTGTCTAGGGCTCAGATAAGTCTTTATCCTCCTAAAACGTTTCCAGCAAATAAATGGTCCTCGTTCAATTGAAGAGCAAGTTTCGCGACGTCGGGTGGATCTTCCTCAGTTCGCGTGGCACGCGTGGACTTGCTGCTTTTTTATTGCTCTCATTTTTCTATAACCTAGATAACTATTGCCATGGAAGCGTGGTTCTCCTTAGTAGTTTCTCTCATGGGCTACATGAAGGGACTCCGNNNNTCAATTCCACCAAAAGGCCAATTAGTCCAGTTTTCCCCTGGAAAAATATAAATGTATACCTGTAACGTATATATCAAATAAAGAGCGTGCGAACCTTCAATTTTTTCTTTTTATTTGGAAAAATCGTTTTCAAAAAACCGCAATTACTTTCCAAACAACCCAATATGTAGTTCCAGCTAAACATGTGCTGAAACAGTGACCCTCGTAACGTTCACATTCAAGTGATGTTGTGGTCATGGAACATGCTACGCTTAAGACTGGTTTCAGAATATGGTTACTAGCTTTGAAAAAGCAACGTTTTCATGATTCTTTGAGAAAATACACACACCGAATCCCACACACGGAGTCAAGTGCATTGGAAATTACTCAAGATCTTACTGATTTGCTTGTTACCTTATTACTCATTGATGGCTGTCTTCTGCATACTAATCTTCGAAACTTGCCTCTCTTATCACATTGTCGATTTCCGCCTCATTCGCATGCATTCCAATACTGAACATCGCTTCCTTCAATTCTTCATTCCCTATGGCACCGGAACAATCTGTGTCGAACATGTCAAACAACTGCTTGTATTCATTCAACTCCTTCCTGAAATCTGCCTTGTACAGGACACAAAACAGTCGAAGTCCGCAAAAAGGGCTTTTCCACCTGTTATACGCCGAGTTTGATTTATCAAAATGCTGGTTCTGAAGTGATTGAAATGTAGACTTTGACGTCGTTGACAGCTTTCTATCTGTTGATGGTCTATCGCACTTTTCTTGAGTGCGCGATGCCCCGACCTTCACAGATCGCATATCTGAAAATTGCAAATCAATCGAATGTGTGATAGAACGTAGCAGGTGATCCCGCCCTAAGACCTGCACCAAGCAGAGAAGATGAAATGGAAGATCGGAAGCTATCCAGTTTCTCAAATCCTCATGTTTCATTTGAGTTATCAATCTGCTAGACACTGTCCTTCAAAACAGTCACCAAATTTCCGCTAGCGATGAAACTCGCCTGAGGGCATTTGCATTTTGGGAGTGGCCCTCTCGGCTATCAACCCCTAGTCCTTCCTCCCCTCCTTATTATCTTGAATAATGCTTAAACAATAGCGATTGAACAATCGTGGGGATTGGATAAAATGACACTCTATTGGCGGTGGGAGAACTAAGGATTCCAAAACGTTGTCATGCTACTTTCTCCTTTGTCGACTGCTGTTTTTGATGTTTTGTTTTGTTTTTGATCCACAGAATGAATCGTTCTCTCGGCATCTCCTGAACATTCTTCTTTGAAAGCAGCCTCGAACATAGAGGATTTGTTTACGAGTATGCTGATTCAGTGACATTTTCGAAGATTCTTAAACCCTTTAGAAATGATTTTGGCTGCTGAGCAATCAGAGCACTCCGTTTTCGTGCTTTTGGGAGTTCCAATTCCCCATGAGACAGCAGAGACTTGTACAGACTTGTACAGCAGAGCACTCTAGCCACGACCGCTTCGCATTCAGCAGAATTTTGAGTTTACCGGACTTGAATTTCTCGTAAATGCGAGAGGAGTGTTTGAAGTCAGTGGTACCTTCACCATTCTAAATATGTCTTTATAATAAGCACCTGATTTTGAATATTACCTGTAATTTGATCTGGTATATGACCATGTTCACCATGTGTGAATGCTGATGAAGTGAGATAAGGGTAAAGGATTAAGTTTGGGCGTCAGACAATCCCATTTAAGTTAGGCACCCGTATCCGACTTCCAGTCGGAATCGTAGTAACGTTTCGAATCCGTTTATGTCTTATACAATGGCTGGCGTAGGTCAGCAAATGTACGAGTCACTGCATCTAGCCTCCAAAGCGTGTCGTCTGGTACCATTCAGCCGATCCCGAAGGGATGGTAGGCTTGGTTGGGCTAGGCGCGAATCGATCCGGGATTCGACCATAACCATGCGTGTGTGATAGAACGTCACAACAACACCACCTCCGCCCAGAACAGGCAACTCAGTACATCCAATTCCGGAAGAGGACAGAAATAACACAGAAAGAGGTAAATATAAGTGTCAGCCATTCTGACCTTGGCTGTGTCTACGGTGAGAGACCAATGATAAAATCGTCTCATTGTCTGTTTCGAAGTTTACAATGCAAAGGATTGCTCAATCAAAGAGCTGATCATATGGTAAGGCTAGATTGCCGATAATGAATGGGCATCAGTGTAAAGTACCAACGAAGGAATAGAATGGTTACCTCAACGTTGGTGCCGATCAACCATGTACGAAGGTTTCTTCAGAGTGGCTCAATTATTCTCCTGCCATTTACTACAAACACAGCCCTAAGTCTCTAGCACTTGCAACAGCTTGGTGCATTGGCCTAAGGAAGCCATTACACCCGTGTAAAAGTGTCGCAACTTTGAGACCTGGAGCCGAGACTGGCTTGGAGCATAATTATATAAGATCCAAGACCTTGACTCAACTGGTTCACAAGAATCTCGTCAGGTATCTGAGCAACTTTTGGCAAATAAAGCGGACCAATCTCGCGTAAACAGCACCCGAGGTTAATTCGAGTATTAATAGCAAAGTGATTGTTTAAAAGAACTACTATAACGAATAAGATGAAGTGGCTCTTCCATTTGATAAGATGGCCGTCATCCTGTGTGCTTAGACGCTCAGAAATTCAATGCTCCGTTACAAATGGAACACTTCGAAAACAGAGTCCACTGTCGTAGAAGAGGGCATCTATGATGAAGATAGATCCACAATAGCACTACTACAAAGTAATATACAGCAACTTGAATGTGGCCAAGAAAAATTAGAAAAAGATTCACCCAGAAATCGAAGAGGAGTGAAGAAAGTGTAATTTAAACTCAGAAAGAAAAGAATAAGCGGAATCACGGAATACAGCGGTTAGAAGAAAAGTCGGGCTTGAGCGCAGTCATGGTCGAATGAGGAACTATGCTTTGACTTGGCTACGTTATCAGAAGGCACCAATTGAAAATAGTGAAACAGAAAGTCAGAAAATGCATATAATTCCAGATGAGAAAAGAATTAGTACGGGGAGTGTCTCATCAAGCAGACCCAACTCAGAGCAAATCCAACGTGAAAGCTCCAGACCAGAACTAAAATTTCCTATAGGCTCAGGAAGCATTAGCGAGCATGTGCCAAAATTTTACGACAACTAAGAAGGCTTTCCCGAATATTCGAGGACCTTGTACATAAGTGTCGAGCTCGATGTTATGGAGACCTTGTTGAAAGGAAACCTTGAAAGCAGAGCACTAAACACGAAAGGATACAACCTATCTTAAATGATTATGAATGGATCATTCAATTTTACAAAAAAATCATTGTAGCCAGCCCGTAAATCGGTCACAAGTAATCCATAAACTGGTAATTTGATACCAGCCTTCAATTCGGAGGACCAATCGCCCTGGATCGAATCCGAAATCTAATCAACGAAGCGGTGTCCGCAAGGTACGATGTGCAGCAGACTTGTTAGACAATATGGTGCGAAACAACCTTGGATATCAGGGCAATCTCATGTCGAGCTAACCGAACGACGGAAGATTCGATGAATCAGAAGAGGGAGATCGTCGCTAGGCTGTATATTGAGAAGACTTAGCCACACGATCGGAAACAGATCTGGTCAGGTACTTACAAACAAAGGTACTCTGCCGCAAGAAAAATACACTCCACGACCTCAATCTAGAGTGAGTATATTGCGGCAAAAACAACCACAGTTCAGTGGCATTTCAAACTGTGATGGACCGAACAGTGACAGAACATTTGCCGTAAATCGGCTCAAGCAAACACAAGAGTTACAACTGCCAAAAACCAGACTGTAATTCGTGTGATTAAAGACAACACTCCACATAGTTTATGCTTTGAAGAAAAAAAGATCGTTTGCTGGATATAGTTACCCTCCTGGAAACGCTTATCGGAGGAGCACTGCTGCAGAGCAAACCTCGTCTAAGCCATATCTATCTCGCTCGGAACCAAGATGAAAGACCAAATTAAGGTTGCGAGCGTAGGAGAGTCGCAGACAACCTGGATGCGGGATCAGAGGTAACTCAACGCTCGATATAACATCATAATCACATTTTGTCACAGCTCGTTCTAATGACAGCCGAAGGTAACTTTGGAGTTTTAGGAATACGTTGAAGCGCTACTCTTTTTCGTTTCCGGGTCAAAAATTGGTAATTGAAGAACGTTTAGCTAATGAACTACTAAATTACGGAATACTCTACTGAGACTTGTCTTTGTCTGGCTTCGGAGGCCATATCGAGAGTTTCAAAAGTGACAAAGTGCTGAGAGAAATTAATCAGCCCTTGGGAGAGAAATTAAGCTCAAGATTTGAACGAAGCTCTTTTGAGTGGACGATTTTCCATGCGTCAAATTAATCACAGCAGGTGGACATCACATTTCTCGAGGAAAACAACATCTAATCCATTAAAAATTTTGTGGAGAACGTCATCACATCTTCTTTGGTTTAGATTACTGTCACAATCTAGTATCCGGTCAAAATCAGACAAAAAATAACACCGTCAGGTCTGCACATCACGAGAAATGCTTTGGACTTCGGACTCTTACGCGCTTAAAGCGGTAGTCTAGAAAACCGAATAGGGAATGCTACAACAACTATTTGAATTCGACTGTCTTGGTATCACAGAAGATGAATGTGGTGAGAATGTCAAAATTCAGAACTATCTGGATCTGTATTCCGAGTTGGTATCTTTCGAAAGCGGTCACATAACTGCTTTTCCCTCCGGAAAAAAGCATATTAAATTCAGAAGACAACTAGTGTGTGATCGGCGACTCGAGTCCTCCCGGAAAATGTTACCAGACCACCGAACAGCGAGAAATTTACTGCAAAACTCTTAAAAATATGAAGAGGAAAATACACTGGAATCCTTCTTGGTAACCGGAAGGGGCGAAGTACATACTAAGCGTGCAAAACTCAGGGACAAAAGCGAGTTACAATTACTGTATCTCGATGCCAGAAATTTATACTATATCAAAAGAGGACTATTACGGTGTTGCACAGAAAGCAACTGACAGGAATGCAAAATGAAACGATTAGATGCGACTTTTTAATCAAAGGAACCGATGCTAGATGGCGATATAGTCATTGGTGCATTTATGGTGCAGTCACGTGCTGCAAGCATCTACCCACTGCGTCTCATTCGTGCTAGATAGGTTTTAGGTCGGGGGAACGGCTAGGCTACCACGCTCGTTGAATATACTTTCGTTTGAAGAAGTTCCTCAGTTGTACTGCTTGATGCGGTCGCGCATTGTCAGCCATCAAAATAAATCAAGGGTCCATCGCGTCTATGAAAGGCGCACGTGAGGAAAAAGTGAACACGCGTACAGCACACGTTGTCACAGTAACGACTACTTTTGAGGGTTCCACGCTGAAAAATCTGGAGCTGTCGGGCGGGCCACACTCGTCATGGTCCGATCTTCAAATTTCTCGATGATTCTTTCCCGTGTTATGTCATCCAGATGATGTCTGCGTAGCATGTTTCATTGAGGGATACCACCACAGTATTTACAGCTGCTCGCTGAATGCCAAAACATCCTTTTGTACCCATCGACTGCCTTATTTACGCGGACGACCGTGTTTTGCGCCTTAATTGAGATCTTCTTGCGCTGAAAGAAATTCTAGCCTCCCGTGCATGTCCGTTATAGGTCTCTCTCACACTTACATTTGTTTCCACTGAGTCATAACGTTTCATCTTACTTTACCCATCTCGTCTATAAGTTTTGCCCACCGGTATAGATACCACATTCAGGAGTGCGTAAACACTTTTTGATGTATCACAGAGAATAAGGAAC